ATTTTGAAATTATACCCCCTCAGATGCGTTTTCTGCGCGAGCAGGGGGGGGTCCGGACCCCCTGGACCCCCCCCCCTGTACACGCCCCTGAAAACCCTCATTTGTGGCATGATTAAACTCCAGGCTATTGAGTCAAGTGAGATGCGTTCTTTGGACGCGGTTACTAGCTGCCGCTACTCGTATCTTGCTCGCGTTGTCGCGGTCTATATGACGTAATCGATATTATAGATTGGTGGCTGTTCGTCTGTGTTTACGCGCCCGCGTGTACAAATGTCTCCAGAGCCCGGTTAACTGAGCGTATATTGCACGGAAAGTTGCTGGGTGACGGTTAAAGGCGAAAAACTAAAAAAGCTAAATGGTGACGTTCCACAATCACAGAAAAGTGATTGTGTGGGTGTATGAATGACGAGGAGAGTATTTGGTTTCGTGTTTGAGTATTCTGTTATAACGAAGTACTGCATATCGGAATGTTTAGTTACATGTTGAATTTATGTTCGTATATGTTTATGTGTTAGTTAATCACGTTAAATATATATTTGTGAGAAATCTACAGTGTATGTTAGTCTGTTTAGTTAACCAGTTCAGCATGCACATGCATACACATGAGCCGACAACAACTAAAGATACCCACTAATTTTTGGATTATGTAGACCTGTGGTGACCATGTTGATGCACATGGCAGCGTGTTGAACGGATTCATGTTAGTTCATATTAGTTCATGTTAGTTCGTGTTAGTTCATGTTAGTCATGAACGGATGTAAGTTTATTGAAAATGATTGTTGTTGACTGTATCGGTAAGCGGACGCACGTGGGCGTTTTTGAACGTGAACGATTGCGCGCTGCATTCTAGTTTCACGGATCAACCAATGATTGTTCTCCACGTACTCTAAATACGTTCTGGCCACTCAATGAACATAGTTGGATGTGCGTGTCTTGACTAAATGTACCGCCTCGTTTAATCAACGCAGGTAGTTTGTATCAAACAGTCTGTAGGGTTATAAAATGAACCATGATGCTGGAAAAGTTATTATTTTATTATATGATCGAGTAATCGACACGAGGTATGGTCAGAAAATGCGCTTGATGTGTAGGCCTAATACAACTAATTTTTACAATATTTTGTGCTAGAAAATATAGTAGTTGAAGTGTACGTTTTAGTAGATTGTGATTCACTTCTATAACACAAACCGCCATCAGTTGGTGGAAACGTGTAGCCATTAACGTTGTTTTACATGTTTACATGTTGTTAACGTTAGTTTACATGTTTACATGTTGTTAGCGTTAGTTTACATGTTTGACGGTAGGTTGATGTGTTATTGTGCTATTGTAAAACCCTTGTAAATGTGCTGGTAGAGCAAAAATAAGGGATGTCTTTTTTGCGAGGAAGATAAAAAAAATCTTGAGTATTGTATTTGCTGTTTTGTCAGTAAATGTAAATGATAATTGTCTGGATTATTATATATCAGGGGTTTCACAGTGGACTAACTACTCGTATAAAAACGTGGTTGAAAAACTCCTATATTGAGTTGTGACTATAACTCAGATACATAAAAATCGACATAAACTTGGGAAATTTCACATCGAGACTTTATTATTGATACTTTCTAGTGTATACTCCAGCTATTTTAAACGAAAATGTGTATCCTACCATTACAACAAAAATCAGTAAAACAGTTATTTCCTTAATTCGGTCGTTAATAATAAAGACATTGTTAATGTAACTATTCAGCATTTTTGGTATACACTGATTATGAATGCCACAAAACCTAAACCTCTTCTAAACGGTCATCCAAAGATAAACATGAATAGAAAAAGTAAATCTAACCTAAGTATTAAACAAAATATACTTTTCAATCATAAATTTCCCTATCGTATTTACTATTGATTATCACAGCACTTAAAAAAGGAACTAATAAATCTGTAGGCAGATAAATACGCGGACATTCATGCACAAATACAAAATATCAACAGATGTCCGCATTCACGTTTCATAAATAAATTGGCAAGCTTGAGCATCGCAATTTATAGAACGTATCTCAGTGGGTAAAACGCATGCGATCACAAATATAAGATACAAATCACTGCTCCTGCTCACGTTATATAGATAAATAGCATAGCAATTTACAACAATATAAGGTAACGTGGTGATATCTTCAAGTGCTATGAACGCAAATTATACCCCCAAACTGTTGCCTCATAGAAAGTGTTTAAAGATAAGATAAAATTCAGACAACTCAACTTTGCCCACATAAAAATTAATATATGTATATGTCATTCATGTAATTTCTCTACACAAACGGCAAAATATAAATTTCATGATACCACGAACATACCTACATGGTAGTATAGTATAGGATAGTGTACCATAGTATCAGGAGTAGATAATAGGGAAGGAGTGTGACTTCAATAAACAAGGGAAATTCGTCATTTACTAGCCTTAGAATACTTACGATTTACTACGCTTAACTCAACCAACTTGAGCTCAAATCGTACACAGTACATTCGCCTAGCATCGTGCGAAATCGTTTCCTCATATACACCAGCAATCCGGAGATACAGACTAAAACGTACGACACGATTATCCATTCTTTCGCCATCAATCCGAACGTATTCCCCGCCGAACTTGAAACAAAAGGCAGCTACTAACGCACTCTTGCTCGCTCGGCGAGGCGGTGTGGCTCGCTGGGAGATTGCGGTGGGCGTGCGTGCGTGGGGGGCATACCAGCTGTATGCCGGTATGCCAGTATGTAGCTGTATGCCGGGTCAAAGTTTATCTCGCCGAGTGTTGCGTCGATGTCCAATCTCCCAGCGAGCCACACCGCCTCGCCTTTTGTTTCAAGTTCGGCGGGGAATACGTTCGGATTGATGGCCAAAGAATGGATAATCGTGTCGTACGTTTTAGTCTGTATCTCCGGACGGCTGGTGTATACGAGGAAACGATTTCGCATGATGCTAGGCGAATGTACTGTGTACGATTTGAGCTCAAGTTGGTTAAGTTACGCGTAGTAAATCGTAGGTATTCTAAGGCTAGTAAATGACGAATTTCCCTTGTTTATTGAAGTCACACTCCTTCCCTATTATCTACTCCTGATAGTATATTAGTATAGATATGTTCAATAAATTAATATGATCTCAAAAGAACTACAAGTACCAACACTGGCTTTAATTTTGTACAGAACTAGCATACGAACAACTATATGCAAATACAGATTATTATTGGGGGAACCTACACGGTATAAGGGTACGTGTGTCAGTACATGGATGCATGATATACTGGCTGTTGTTGGGGGGGGGGGATGAGGTCACAAATTTTCTCTAATGCTAAAAGCCACAACACCACATAATTTACGTATGTATAGGCCTACACTTATATAGAGAGGAGATAGTCTTTAACCATAAAGCAATTATCTAAATTCTCTAAAATCACAATAATCAAAGGCAATTGATAAGTTAAACAGTGGGTAGCAACTAACAGGGGTATGTTTACATTCCTATATATAAATATCGTGTGTTATTCCGAGTATCGTGGATACATATGAACTTCTACCTAAGCGAAATCTGTATATCGGTCTGTATCCTATACAATATTCAGTATCAATTCCTTGTAGCCGTAACACGCAGCAATAAATAATCCTACATAACACATGGCATATTAATTATTTGGATTTTGGAGAACCATGATATCAGAAGTAGATAATATGGAAGGAGTGTGACTTCAATAAACAAGGGAAATTCGACATTTACTAGCCTTAGAATACCTACGATTTACTACGCATAACTCAACCAACTTGAGCTCAAATCGTACACAGTGCATTCGTCTAGCATCGTGCGAAATCGTTTCCTCCTATACACCCGCAATCTGGAGATACAGACTAAAATGTACGACACGATTTTCTATAATGTTGCCAGCAAACAATGTATAAACTGCCTAAATTTAAACAAAAGGCAGCTACTAGCAAGCCACACCGGATCGCCGAGTGAGCAAGTGCGCAAGAGCTGCCTTTTGTTTCAATTTAGGTGGTTTATACATTCAGTTTGCTGGCAACATAATGGAAAATCGTGTCGTACGTTTTTGCCTGTATCTCCGGATTGCGGGTGTATACGAGGAAACGATTTCACACGATGCTAGGAATGTACTGTGTACGATTTGAGCTCAAGTTGGTTGAGTTATGCGTAGTAAATCGTAGGTATTCTAAGGCTAGTAAATGACGAATTTCCCTTGTTAATTGAAGTCACACTCCTTCCCTATTATCTACTTCTGACGATATGCATATGTGTATATCGTGACGCTCCTGATATAATGCTACTGACATATTCGGCTGCATGCACCACCTCTGCAACAACTATGAACCCAAAGAACTGGCCAATTACGCCACTCCAATACCATAGCACTGTAAACAATGCAGCTACTGTCAATCTATAACACACTGGCATATAAGTCCATTTGTTATGCAATATCTATTCTAATGACTGTAAACTGCATGCGTTTAATGAATTGAAAATGAGAATAAAACTTATCAGGCAGTTAACTTCCTTATACGACGATTAGCAAGGGTATGAGCCGGGAAGCAAACATGAAAACCGAGTACACCAGTCTCCACTCTGGCGATTTTAACCCTAAAGGGGACGCAAGATCTCCACACAATACAGCAACATAGCAGCCACACTTGTGCAGCTACACCGACTATTACCAATCGGCTTCGTAATTGTTGGCGCCACCTCCCTCTCATGTGTTTCACAATTAATAATTTTAGCTAGCACAGCAAAGCCCCACTCCTGTTTAAATGTGCAAGCAATCGGTTTCACACCTGCATTTAACACGTCGTTGCCTTCAGCGATTCGGGAGCTTCTGTCTGCGAGGCCTGCAGGAGAAAGGCAAGATTGGATGCCTTGAGCCGGGCGCCCCCGTGCGGGAATCCACATAGGAGCAACGAGGGGGAAGGAGAGAACGATGGTGTGCTGTTGAGAGAGCCGGTGCAGTCACAATGCTCCATCATGCGCAGGAGCTCCTTCTCCGTCGGGCCTCCCACTCCCTCCGCCTCTGCAAGGCACACAGAATAGCACATCAGTATGCTGTCACGTATCTCTTCACTGCCAATACATGGCGGTATATAGCTGCTTATGAGGCTTCATGCTACCTTCATATTTATCTTGACTACTTATCATTATAGTGAGGCAATCCCTTTAACACTAGCAAGCAACCCTTAGCCAGCTTTGCACAGGTGCTTACTTTACTGTTCATGTCCGAATGCTATTTTATCTAATCAAACCTTGTTCATTTTGCAGCAGAGAAAATTGAGATTTATCCAAGATAGCACATGTGTTGCTTTCGGGTAACAAAATGAGAAAACACCCATAAACTAAAACTGACGTTATTATCGTGCAATATCTCAAGAAGCAGACTATGTGGACACTCATGAGTAAGCTTTCATATACACGCACCTTCTTTCTTTTCAGGTTTGTTGCACAATTCCAAAGCGGTCGTGATATCCCACATCTGAATTGCACCATTGACATGACCTGAAAGGCAGCATCAATAGTGCCAGTGGGTGTTATCCTATGCACAGATTAGATTAATAATGCAAATGTGTGCTAAGTAATTAAATAGGTAAATTGGGTTGACATAAAAAGTAAGAAAAGGCAAGTTTTCTTGCACACTTGCAATCGTATTTCACGCACGCATGCGCACACGCACGCACACACACACACACACCACTAAAAACAAAGTCTTATTGTATCTATCTACCTGTGAATAAGTAGCGTCGTGGACGTGAGCCCATGCGGCTGGAGCCTTCGCATTCATGTACACAGAATGAGCTGATGGTCGAGCCATCTACTGACTTAATCATGCATACGCTGCAAGGCAAATATGCATAAGAAAACAGAAGCAAGCAAACATGACAATTAAAATATATTTAAAATTTATATTTTATATATTTTTATTAAATATTAAACCAACACTCGCATGGCTACACAATGGTTCCTCACTTATTGATTGTCAAATCAGTGACTTAGCTAATCACCTTCACATCTAGCAAAAACCAGTGTATGACATTTGTAGGTTAGGTGATAAGTGGAGTATCTAACACATTCTTACCGTTTACCAGTAGAAGAAAGTCTAACAAATAGCTGATCTGTCTCAGGAACAACTTTCTGCACAAATACTTGATCTTCATCCTGCACTCCATATGGACCTAGAACGAACAGAACCAGCATCCAATCAACCTGGTGTAAAACGTTTCAGCATTGTTTCAACATGGTAATTATCACCTAACTCGCACGTTTAAATAATTCATATATACTGTGACAGTAATTTCGCTGTTATGAATGCTAATTAATTCTTGGAATCCTCATGATCATATCCAATATTTTCCTATAGGCACATGAACGTCTGAAAATTTGCAACTGTACCATGGTCATCAACGGACGATTTCTCTAAAGTTTCTGATGTTGCAGGCCTTCTTCTGCGTAATTACTCAAATAAAATATGGCCCAATAATCACATGTTAAGCACCCAAGCAAAATATTCTGCTCTCGTGTGTCATGGGGGACATGGTACCGTAGTCGTTTCCGCTCGTGTAGCTCACGTGGGGGTCAACGTCTTCCAGCGAGACAATCTTGAATGAGGCGAGAGGGGTCGAGCCCGGCTGCGTGGAGATCATGCCACGGAAGCGAGTCACACTCCACGTGCGCACGTGGTTGTACTCCAGGCACACTGGGGAACAGAGTTCATTACGAGTTAGCCCGAGCTAGTCGTTGCAGATGTGCGAATCCTCAATGCAGTGATGATGCATGCTGGACCTCTCTGCACTAATCAGGAGATAGCTGCACTTTGCAACAGACACAAGATGGATGAGTTGTCATAAATTAAGTCTGGCAAGTATACTCGGCAGTGAAAAGGCATGCACAACATCACCACTAGTGGTTAAAAAATTAAGGAAAGAAAAATCCAAACCTGACTAAATTTATCAAAGTTGAAGATAGTCCCGACTCCCTGAATCTGATTGGTTGAAGGCACTGAAGCCCTCCAGTCATTGCTCAGAGGTTACGGCGATGCCATAGTTACGTGTAAACGAGACAGATGTCTACCGGGGCACACTCACCTGACACGAGATGCTTCTCTGACAGCATAACTTTGGTGACAGGACTACGGTGGACAGTGAACGTCTGGAACAGCTGTGGTCCATGCCCCACAGTCTCCGGGTGCTGCACAATAACTCGCACGGTGCCCGAGCTTGTGCCATACGCGATCTCTATCCAGTTACCACTAATACCTGGAGAGGAAATACTCGTGAAATAAATAAATTAATATAATAATGTATTAAGATGTTAATAAATGATAAATAAATGTCCCAAAAACTTGCCTATGAAATCAAGGGTTCCATAAATTTTAATTGCAAATTAATTACTGCTTTTCTGTCGTGTAGAATTGAGCTTCATCACACTGTAATAGCATGTCACTCCAGACCCACTGACAATTGAAGCATCCCATGTATACTA